CATTGTCTAGATGCACACTCCCCTCCCCCACCCCCGTGAAGGACCCTTAATTTATTTTTAAATTGATTTATTTGTTTATTTTTCTTTATTGCTTTAGAACACTATATATGATTTAGGGGAACATGTTCACACCTCCTCAAATATATGTCACCACACCAACCCCAATGTGTCATTTCTCAAGGAGAATTTGTTTTATAATATGAACAACTGTGCTAGGCTCACTGTTTTTCTTTTTTTTTTTTAAAGATTATTTATGCATACAAGAACTGGGGTACAGGCCAGAGGTGTGGGGGGTGAGAGAATTCACTAGAGGCAGAGTGGGTAGCAGAATAGGCAGATGTACTGAAATACACGGCTGAGGGGTGCAGCAGGTGAGACAGGAGAGGTTTGCTGTGCCATGTGTGTCACCTCCCTGGCCAGGATCAAACTAATGCAATAGCTGTGGATTGCTTCATAGTGCTGACGCTTTATCCCTTGTGCCACCAGTAGGCCCCAGCTTGCTGTTTTTCTTACATACAAAATTAATTTTAGGAAAAATATTGCTGGCATTGAGTTTTTAAATTTTCATCATAATTTGGGGCTGGGAAATGTTAATCTAACACTACGATGCCTAAAAGACTGGAAAATACTATCTGTTTCATGGTTTGCAGAGGTCTTGGCCATGGTGAGAAACCTCGGTGTCCCAACTTGTAGCTGAGCCCCAGAGCAGCAGTCACTCCCCTGCAGACTCCAGGGAATTGCGGGCAGCCCTCCTGGGTGACTATAACTGGCGTCACAGTTTCAGCTCATTCCCAGGAGCACAACCTCTCTTCTCTTGGCCAGAGCTCTAGGAGTTCTCTGCACTTGTCCGTGTGTGTGTGTGTGTTATATTTCATAATTGTAAAAATGGTGTACCAAGAAAATCTGTATACAAGATTTTCTAGTACATGAAGGCATCTGGTTTCATCTGAGCATTACAAGGTATTGAAATGTACATTGATTATATTTTGTACTTTTTATTTTTAATAAAATGGTATAATTTTTAATTACTTTTCTCTGAAGGTTATTTGCTATGTAGCTTCAAAGTTGCTTTTTTCCTGGCATTGGCTGACAGGGCATGTGTGTGGTCTTGCCATTTTGGACCACCCCCTCCTATTGGAGCATTTGCTGACTGGGACACTGGGCATTTAAAAGAAACTCTTGGGGGCAGATTACCCTTGATGGTCGAGTGAAGAATCCATGGCCAGAGGACTGGGAAACAGCACTTGAGACCAGGTTGACACTCTGGCTTGGATAATTCTTTGTTGTGGGGAGCTGTCCAGCAGTGTGGGATGTGCAGTGGCAGCCCTTGCATCTCCTGACTGATGCTAGTAGCACTGTCAGTTGGATACTGCTCAGATGTCCCTGGGTGACTAGACCACCCCTGTCTGGCAACTGCTGTCTTAGAGGAGCAGTGTTCACCTGACACTCAGGTCTCTTCTAGAGGCTGCAGCTGTGGAGGAGGGAAAGCACCTTCCTTAGATCAAGAGAAATGAGATAAATGGAGCCAGTAAATTGGAATTGCGGCCTTCAGAATAGCAGCAAATGATGGTTGTGCAGGGTGGGACTCTCAGCACACCACAGTGAGGAGAGCATTAGCATAGAGGCCCCTCTCTCTGGAGCACTCAGCTCTCCACCTCCCCTCTGCTTGAGCCAACTTTGAGCACTTAAATTGCTTTCCATCCTCCTAAGTATTTTACTGCTTTTCTCCTGACCTTGTGGAGAGAGTTGTGTGAATTTATCAAGTGGGTTAAGTTCCTTGGAGAGAGATGCAATTGATGACACCACAGGCATTTGTCAAGCACCCATTTAGTCAGGGGCTGTGCCAGGCATGAGGGATGCCACTAATCACTGAGGACTGTGTAGTATAGTCTGGATGGGAGATGGACTCAGCCAGCCTAGGCAGCCCGGGAGAAGAAAGAGCTCAGACCTTGCTGTGAGGCTGTTAAGTCCATGTCCCAGCTCTGCTGCAGGCTACTGTGACTTTGGGCCTCAGAGTTCTAGTGATGTAAAATGGGCAGTAAGCATTCTTATTCCATGTGGCTGTTGAGAATATTAAGCAAGAGATTGTGTAAAGCCTGTAGAATTGTTAGTGCTCAATGAAAGCTTTTAGTATCATCATTTTCAGTGTCTTCTTATTGATATCACTACATAAGGACTGTAACAGGCTTAAAGAGTGCCAAGAAAATTCTGAGGGACAAGTGATCAAAGACTCACAGAAGTGGATCTTTTGAGATGGGTCTTAAAGGATTAGTGTGGCTTTATTAGGAAAAAAAAAAAGTTGTGGGTGTATGGGAAGGTCCTGCACTAAGATTCAGCAGAAGCAAGCCCACAGGTTACAGACTATGAGTGAGCAAATGAGTGAGGCTTATGGGGGACAGCTGGTGGCTGGGAGATCTGGCGGCTGAGGGAGGGTGGGACGTGAGGCTGGGAAGGAAGGCAGATGGGCCTGATGGACAAAGGCCTTGGCAGGGGCACTTGGTCTGAATGGACATAAATACCAAACCCCTTTGGCTTGATTCTGTTTTATCTATTATTTCTATCTCCCCAAAATAGATTTAGAAGAACTTGCCATTTTAATCCCATCCTCCCTTCCCTGGGCAATGAAATGCTAAGTGTATTTTATTGCAGTATTATTGAGCTTTTATTTATCGTTTAAATTTAATTTGCATTTATTGAAGTTTTAGAGACTAAAAGGTAAAATCATCATGTTGTCCTTGTCCTGTCAGGCAGGGCCTAGGTAGGGGGAGGTGGGCAACCACTTCACATCAGGATTCCAGCATATGGAGCAAGCCTCCAGGCGCAGCACCCCTTGAAACTTTTGGGTTCTGTGACCACTCACTGTCACTGCTCATTGGAGTTCACAGAGAAGCAAATCAATGGGTCATTGGGTCACTTCCACTTGTCTCTCATCTGCTATCACATACTGCCGCATGCAGGGACTGGCAGACATGACCAATAACCAATGAATCTGTGCCAAAGGAACTAGGTGTTTATTTCTCTGGAGCCTGTGGCGGGTGTCTAAGACTTTTGCTGAATCAGCCTCTGCTGTTCAGCATCCCCTTTCTTGCTGGGACCTCAGTCCCAAGGTTGTGAGTGGCCCCAGGGTGGCTCTGTCTTTGCTTCACTACTTTCTGAAACCTTCATACAGCCAGTCTGGTGCCATTGGCACTGTCGCCTTCCCTTTAGTAAATTCCCACCGCCAGTCCTACTTTTTCCCTTTGACACTTTTATCTGCATTGCTGGCTTGTCATGCTCCCACACATAATTCTGGCCTTCCCAGAGGATGGCCTTGCTCTCCAACACAGTGGGCACTGGCGGTAAGAAGCCAGGCTTAGAGAAGGCGGACCTGGCTGGGTCCTGGCCTGGCTTTACCCCTTCATGGTCATGGAACCTTAGGCAAGCAAGCTACTCAGCGCATTGGTGTCCTGTCTGTAAAAGAGGTTCTCTTTCAAGGCTCTCTGAGGACCAACGTGATGCCTATAAATTTCTTGGTGCTTCTGAGACCCTTTTCCTTCCCTTTTCAGCATCAGGAACCGTCTTGGTTCAGTTAACTTTGTTTTTTCCCTAGAGATCTGATAATGTGGAATATCAGGGTGTTTTCTGTGCATGCCACCTATGGCAAGGCTGCCCCCAGATTGGTAAACTGCATCTCCGCTGGGAGTTCTCTGCACAACCTCTAAATACCTGATGAGGGAGCCATGGCTTTGGGTTTCCTGAGTGTGATGTCTCCTTGCAGGGACCGTGGAAGCTTTATCTATGGGGGTTGTCACAGAAGGTGTGAGACCTGGGGTCAGGACGGTTGCTGTGCCCCATCAGCTTGCCCGTGAACTAACACCTAAGGATGACCTCATCTGTCAGGAGAAAGGATTAAACACTTCTAGTTTCAAAATTCTATCAATTCATTCATTAAAAAAAATATCCGTTGAGAGCCCAATGTGTGCTCAGTGCCGGGAACACACTGTTGAACAAAAGAGATTCTTTTGGAGCCTTGAAGTGACACACAGTCCAATGGGAAGACACTTGGAGCAGAGCATCACCGAAATAATAGTAAAAGAGCTCCCTGATGATATGTACATCGTGCTCCGAGAGTGTAGTGGGATTTGACCTCATTGGGGAGGTTAGGGAGGGTTCAGATCCAAGTGTTGGAACTGGGATCTGATGGGTGAACAGGCATTATTCAGACATAGTGGGAGGAGGGGAGTTCAAGGAGAGAAGGGCACAGGCAAAGACCTGGAGGGGCATCGTGCAAGGTAGGGAGAATGAGGACAGGGAGAGCTAGTCATGCAGGTCGCTAGAAGCAGGACTGAGAATCAAATTATTTAATGACATGGTGTAGCCCTGGGCATGGATCATTGAGAAGTGATGCCCAACAGTCAGGCTGGTGTCATTATTTCTGCATCTTCATCTTAAGAGCAGTACAAAGTAGGTTAACGCAAGGTAGGGATGTGTGTGGTGGGAGGAAGGGCTGGTTTTTATTTCATTTACAGTTTGAGAAACTGATTCTGTCTGCAGGATGCTGAAATCAAGTTTGAGGGGAGTATAATTTGAAGGAACATTAAGTGGAAAGGTTTTGATGGAGAAGGAAGCCCAAGGTAAGGCCAGGATTTATGGAATATCAGATAGAGATTAGTGGTAAGAGAGGAAAACTTGGCATTTAATTTCAGGGGTCTAAGCTGCTCAACTTGAATTCCTACCTCCATACCACCCACCTCTCTGGGCTTTTATGATCCCAAATACCCCTTTCAAAATAACAGATTGAAGGAAGGGTGGGTGTAGAGCTATAACAGGAGATAGAGGTTCTTATGTCCATCTTAGCCATGAGCAGAAAACCTTATGGGTATTCATAAAAATAAATCAAGCCCCACAGCAGTGTTTTCTGTAGCTTGGAGAACCACTCCTGGCATTGAAGACAGATATTTACATCAAATAGAGTGAATAAAAATCATATTTCTCTTTTTTCCTCTCTCTTTTCCCTCTAGGCTTATATTTGGCACACTTTACCCTGCGTACTATTCCTACAAGGCTGTGAAATCAAAAGACATTAAAGAATATGTAAGTAACGCTTTCATGGGAGGTGGCTGGTGGTTGGGAGGAAGCTGGGTGTGGAGTGGTGGGAGCAGTGCCGACGTGGCTGTGGGCACGGGTCCCTTCATTACTCTTCTTCTAATAAGACTTGCCTGGTGTGTCCAGTGTTCCTCTCCTGTCCAGATGTCCTCTTTATTTTTAAAAAGATTTATTTTTATTTATTTATGCATAGAAGAATTGGGGTACAGGACAGAGGTGTGGGGGGTGAGGGGACTCACCAGAGACAGAATGGGGAGCCGAACAGGAGGATCTACTGAAATACACTGCTGAGGGGAGCAGGTGAGTCAGGTGAGTCAGGAGAGGTCTGCTGCGCCATGTGGGTCACCTCCCTGGCCGGGGATCAAACTCATGCCATAGTGGCTGCCAATAGCTTCATAGTGCTGAGCCCTTATCCCTTGTGCCACCAGGGAGGTCCCTCCAGACCATCTCTTTAGAACTAGAGCATGAAGTGAGGAAAGCAGGGCCTACAGCTAGAGGAAATGACATCTTGCATCAGAGGCCCCCCAGTCTGCCACATGCCATTGAATGGCCTTGAATGAGTCACCTCACCTCCATGAGCCTCAATTTCCTTGATGGGAAAACACTGTAGACTGTAAAGCACCGTTCCTGGGAGACATCTGGCTTCAGGACAGGAGCACGGGCCCGGGAACCTCATTCAACCACTCTGACTCTGATCTTCATTCCAGTTTCATGGTTCAAACACCCTACAATTAAGCTCTGTTGCCTTGTATGGTTTTTGAGGGCAGGGGCTGTTCATCACCCTCTGCCAGTTTCCCACAGCCCTAGCAGAGTGCTGAGCATGTGGAAAGGGGATATGGAGTACTCATTGATGGGGTGTGTGTCACTGCTGGAGGATTTCCCCTCTATGTGTAGGACACTTCTAGACAGGGGAGCCACCAGACTGTGCAACTGGCAAAGACTTACCTGGAGTGGGTGGTAGGGAAGGACCCCTCTCCATGCAGCACAGAAACCCAGGTTAAAGTACAAAGGACATGGATTTTTTACTCAAGAAACTGAAGTCAAGTCCTAGCTCTCATGTTTGTTGATGCGATGCTGGGTAAGAAGCTTAATTCCCAAGAACCTCAGTTTCCTCACCTAAACAGTGGGTAGAGATTGGCAACCCTAGCCCCTGGTGTTGTGTGAGACAGAGGCCTTTGCTCTCCTTCTCTTACTCAGATGTCACTTAGCAAGTTTGGTACAAGTAAAGAAATCATTCAGAGTGGGTTTGGAAAGTCATTATTTGCTTTCTCTGATTTCCCAGAATGTCTTTATGATGAAACCAGCCACCTCCAGGTCAACTGCAACCCGAACTTACCCCCACTCTCTCAGTTTCTTAGAACCACTGGCTTTGGCTTGCATTTGCTACTAGGCAGGTGATCCAGGCGGGGTGTTTTTCCCTCTGGAGACTGGGTCCTGGTATATGTGAGGGTATCTCAGAGTGTGAACTATAAATAGCTAAGTTGCAAGCACAGAACCTCATGATTCTCGATTGACTTGGCACAGGGGTAAAGCACTAGGGAGCCTCTACCCGGTCTCTCTCTCTTAAGCCTTCCAGCCTAGGGCAATGTGCCAGGTAAGGAGACATAACTGGGGTCACCACGTTTCAAGGTCTGACCCTCCACTTTGCAGGGGCAGAAACTCAATTCTGTCAGCTCATCGGGAAAGATCAAACCCTGGTACATTGTTTTGCTCTGACTAAACTCACAGGAGCCTGCTTTAATACGAGAATGGCAATTCATTAATTTAGAGTGAAAAATAGAGCTGACAAGCAGAGCAGCTGTTTGTTTTGGCTGGTGAGCACATGCTTTCCCAGTGGGGAAAGCTTGAGAGTTAAGATTAGAAGCTTTCTTGGTAAAAATGGAAGCGGAAGAAAGGAATTGAGTAATATTAGGGGAGACCTGTCTTTTTTTTCTGGGCTCCCACACATGTGCCCACACTCAAAATCACACTCACTCCTTTGACCAATAGACCCATTCATGCAAATTTCCTTTGACTCCTGCCTCCCTTATCATTCCACCCTATACACACACCTGGTTGGTGACTACGTCCCTTCATCTTTATCCCCCTAATCATCTTTCAGACCAGGGCTCTCCTCTGCTGCCACTGTCTTCCCGGGAACCCTTTTTCCTGGAATGTTGCAGTAGTCTTCTGTATTAGTTTTTATTGCCACTGTAACAAATGACTATGAACTTAGTGACTTAAACAATACAAATTCCTTTTCTCATAATTCTGGAGGTCAGAAGTCTGATCGGTCTCACTGCCTTAAAACCAAGCAAGACTGTATTCCTTTTGGAGGTTCCAGGAGAGAATCTATTTCCTTATCTTTGCCAGTCTCCTAGAAGCCACCCCTATTCCTTGGCTCGTGGCCTAACTCCATCTTCAGAGCCAGCAGCTTTGCAACATTCACTGTTTTTCCACAGTCACATCTTCCTCTGGCCCAACCAGGAAAGGGTCTCTACTTAGAAGGATGTATTTTTACTTTGGGCCTACTTGGATAATCCAGAATGGCCTTCCTATCTAAAAGTCCTTAACTTAATAACTCTGCAAAGGCCCATTTACCATATAAGGTGACATATTCACAAATTCTGAGGGTTGAGATAAGGTCATGGGGTGGAGGGTTATTATTCTACCTAACACAACTCCTAACTGATTCCCCTACCACCTGTCCCTTATCTCACACTCTTTTGTCTTCATCATTTGTCTTTTTTTTTTTTTTTTTTGTGGGACCCTCACTGGTGGCCGGGGATCAAACTGGCACTGCAGAGGCTGCAGGCAGCCTCGCAATCCAGCACTCAACCACTGCACCACCAGGGGAGGCCCTTCATCGTTTGTCTTTTTAAAATAGAAATCTACTCATTTCACTCCCTTGGCACCACCTTTAATGCCGCTTAGCACCTGCAAGGTCAAGTCCAAGCTCCATTCTACTGTGTGACACCCTTGTTGATCTTAGTCCATCCAACTTCCCAGCCACTTCTCTGCAGGCAGCCAGTGCTCTCCGTCGTGATACCTAACGTGTAGTCTGTGGATCAGCATTATCCGCAGTACCTGGGAGTGCGGGACCCCCTCCCGCAGAAGAACTTAGGTGAAACCAATCTGGTCCTTGTTCAGCATGGTCAAGGCGCCGAGCACGCGGGAGGGACATGCTGTACCTGCTCCCCCAAGAAGATTGCTGCAGATGACGTATCAGATGCTAAGAAGATTGAATGCCACAAACACAATGTACCTGCCATTCCTGCCATAGCAACAACTACCCCCTGTGTTTTTACATACCCTCTTGCTGACCTCTGTAATTTTAAATGTTTTTTCTTCCTTGTATTGCTTTTATTTTCCTAAGTCAAGGTATAATGGTGTAATGAGTCAAAAGTTACTGCTTAATGTATAACCACAAAAAATTCGGCTACCTGATATCCAGTTAACAAACAAGTTGACAAAGTTGACAATTATATATGAATAATAATATAGCAATTTTCTCCAACAGTCAACACATCCCTTAAAATAATCATAAATAAAAAACACTTGTTGGCAATCTCCTTAAAATAACCCAAATTAATATATATAAGCTTGCAAGCTTTTAATTAATACCAATCAACCTAATATAAAATATTAAAACAGTTAAATAGGCGGCCAGTTCCCAAATAATAATAATAATAATAATAATAGTACTTATAATTATAGGGTATAATCAAATAACTAGTTTAACTGGTTTAGGCAGGAACTATATTCTAACCACAGAAAATGTAATCCATGATCAATCATTAGTTAAAATATAACTTGTTGTAATTCTAAGTCTATTATATCTTGTGATTGTATTCTGTTGAGAAAGAATATCATGTCAATCATTTTTTTTAAAGATTTATTTATTGATTGACTGATTGATTTATACATACATACATACAAGCACTGGGTACATTCAGAAGCGCGGGAGGGTGAGAGAATTCACCAGAGCCAGAGCGGGGAGCAGAGCAGGCAGAAGGACCAAAGCACACTGCTGAGGGGAGCAGCGGGCGGCAGGAGAGGTCTGCATGCCATGCGGGACCCTCCTCCGGTGGTCGGGGAACAGCCGGGGATCGAAGCGGCGCTGCAGAGGCTGCGGGCAGCTTCGCAACCCTGCACTCAACCGCTGCGCCACCAGAGAGGCCCATGTCAATCATTTCTATGGCAAGAAATTGTATGATGTAATGCTTTAAGAAATGTATAAAAATGTACATTGATTTTGAGCACATTACAGTCAGATGTTCACTCTTGAAGTGTGTCTGTCTGTCATTCTTTTGCTGAATCCTTGACCGCCCTGCTCAGTCTCTCATCCCTAGGTCGGCCTTGCTAGTCTACCGCTGCGCTGGTCCGCAGCATGGGAGCATGTTAGAAACGAAGACTCTCGGGGCCTCCCTGGTGGCGCAAGGGGTTAAGACACAACCTATGAAGCTGTCCGCAGCCACTGCAGCACGAGTTCTATCCCCGGCCAGGGAGCAATCCACATGGCGCAGCAGACCTCTCCTGGCTTGCCCACTGCTCCCCTCAGCAGCGTATTTCAGTCTATCTGCCTGTTCTGTTCCCCACTCGTCTCTGGTGAATCCTCTCACCCCCCACACCTCTGGTCTGTAGCCCAGTTCTTGTGTGCATAAATAAATAAATCTTTAAGAAAAAAGAAACAAAGACTCTCAAGCTCTCTGCAGAGCTCCTAAATAAGTATCAACATTTTTCAAGATCCTCAATTTGAAAAACAGTGCTCTTGACATTCAAACCTGTCTTTTGAAACTACCATACTAGTAAAAGTTTTTGGATGAAAATAGAAAAGAATTTATGGGAATTCATGGAACCTAATGGAAGGCTAGAAAAATTACTCAGAAATTTGGGAGGGTCTAACAGGGCTGGGTGGTAGTGATAGTCAAGTTCCTGTCACAGAGGGTTTGTTAGGAAGTTGCTGCTGAAGTCACCTAGATGGACACTGACTGGCAGCTGCCCATGCCTTTGGAATGTTCTCTGAAGACACAAAATCCTGAATGGGGTATTTTTCAAGGTTAGGGTACAGGCCTTGTGACCCTCAAAGACTCTCACATTGAGAGACTTCCCTGAAGTCAAATTAGAAGGCTGTGGGTGCTGGTAGTGTTACTGGGGAAGATGTAGGTTCTTTGCATGCCACTTGCCAGAAGCCAAAAAAAGCAAAGAAAGAGATTGAATAAAACTAGAACTTTTTAGGTTAGATTTGCTAGGACATCAAAGAACAGCCTCTGGCATCATCCTCCAAAGAAATCATTCTAACACCCCATCTCTAGCTGGCTGTTTTATAGTGAGTTCAAGGAAGACATTTAATTATCAGTGAGTGGGTTTTCACTCCAGGTGGTTAACAACCCTGGGAATTTGTGGCTGCTCTGTCTCCTCACAGCTCCCCCTCTTAGACATCTGGATTTTAGTAGCACTTCCTGTGCTGCTGGGACCAGTCAGTCTCTGACCTTAATGGTATCCATCACTTTTCCTACGTGCCTCCTGGTCTGGGAAGTTAACTCAGAGCAAATAGGTCATAAGTTAAACAATGTGCCACATGCAGGTTCCTAAACTATGTGTGGTGCCCTTTTCATCCCCTTCCCTAGCCTCTGTCAGCTGCCTTTGAGTATTACCTGATTCTCTTCAATTCAGGGACCAGCTAAGAATTTTTTTTTCTTACATCGTTGTTCATTTCTGTACAATATTTGATTTCTTCCCTCAAGTGAAGTCCCCATAATTCTCTTACCCCCATATGAACCATCCCACCCATGAACAATCATTATAGTCCCTTGTGCTCTTTCTTCCCCTGTTTTGACCCCTCTCCCTCCTCCTCCCCTGTTGTATGCCTCAGATTTACAGTTTGCCTGCAAGTTTTGCCTTTTTCCTGATCCTTTGTTCAGTTTCCCTATATTCCACCTGTAAGTGAAATCATCTGATATTTTCCTTTTTCCTTCTGACGTATTTCACTAAGCATAATCCTTTCTAACTCCATCCATGTTGCTGCAAATGTCATGAATTTCTCTTTTTTGGATTTGAGTAGTGAAACCTGCACTCCTATGTTTATTGCAGCACTATTTACAATAGCTAAGATAAAGAAACAACCAAAATGTCCACAAGAAGATGAATGGATCAAGAAGATATGGTATATTTACACAATGGAATTCTACTCACCTAAGGATTTTAAAGGAACTTGTATGTGGATTTGGGGGGCTCGCTGTTTATGTCTCCCCGCTTTCTGGAATTTATTATCTCATCCTCATTTCCAGCATCTCTGAAAGATTCAAACTGCATTCTCCAATTTCTCAGGCACATATGATTATGAGTTTCTTCTTCATTTCTATTGTACCCCATCACTTGAAGGATGGGGAGTGTCCTCAGCCACATCATCATGGATCTACCCAGATGTGTTCCCTAATTTTAAGTTTTGAAGCCCTTCCATTTTGTGATAGCTTTTCAGTGCCTTTAAGCAGTTGTTTTTAGATATTTTGTTCTGATTTTATTAGTACTTTTGGCAAGAGGGTTAGTCCAATACAAAGTACATTATCCCAAGCTGGAAGGAGCAAACCTAAGAATCTTGATTTTGTTCAAGAAGATCTTACAGGGGGGGGAGTAGTTGGATGAATTCTTGCTTTTAGGACAGATTAGTATGAGGGTGGTTTGTCAGAATGGATTGATGAGAGGAAAGCTAAGAGACTAGGGAAGCAGTTAGGAGACTATAGCAGGAGTTTAAGGGGAAGGGGACCAAGGCTCAAGTTGGAAAGAGAGAAAGTGGAAATGGAAAAGAATGTTCATGTGGGAAAGAGTCAAAGAAAGATTTAGTTTCTGTGAGGGGTCATGGGGCTTCCCCACAGGAAAGACATCTTCAGTGACCAGTATGCATTGCCACCATTCCTTCCCAGACAGTCTGGCTTGATTAAAGTCTATCCCAGGGTTTGTCTCTGTAGAGGCCTAGAGATTTTACTCACCCGATTCTAGTCCTGACAAAATGGCTGAATCTTGAATTACTTCTTGTCTGCATGTTGCCCTGAGGGCTACTGAGAGCTCCTGGGGCCTCTGAAGCTACTCTGACATTGAACCTGCATCAGTTGAAGGAAGTCTGTTTGCCATAGCCCCAAGGTCTGGAGGGGATCTCAATAGCTGAAGGACAGGGACAATGTGTTATAGTTCAGATCACACTGATAAACATGCCTCAAGGTCTGTTCTTGAAGTTGGCAGCCAACTTGAAGTTGACCTTTCTGCTAACTTTGTTATTTTCTCTCCCACAGGTCAAATGGATGATGTACTGGATTATATTTGCACTTTTCACCACAGCAGAGACATTCACTGACATCTTCCTTTGTTGGTAAGTACTCCAGGAATTGGGTTATTTCAAGGGAAGATGTGAGGTGGGAAGGTGTGAAAGCAGTCTCAAAGCTTCCTTCAGAACACAGAATCTAGAGCAGTATGTTAACTGGGACAGTTAAAATAAGTTAATGTACAAAGTTGCTCTTCCAGGAAATACTTATTGACCTTAAAAGAGCAGCTATTGTTCTTATGATATACTGAGACACATGATAAACACAGTTAACTCAATTCATGGAGTTGGTAAATAAGCCTTAATATGTTCAGGGCGAAAAAAGGAAAGAAACAGTACCAAAACATATGCAGTAAAACTATTTCCCTCCCACACCATTTTCACTGTGACTGCTTTTCATGGTTGTATGTTGTTTAAAAAAAATTATGTGTTTGTATGTGTGGATACACATATATGCATTTTAAAAAACAATAGTATTATAGTATGTAAAACAATTCTTATTTTGTTTTTAAATTAAAAAAAAATACTTCTGTATAAGCATCAATAGACCTCTTTTTTTTTTTAATGGCCACACAGAATTTCATGGGATTAAGGGACCACGATTTAACTAGTTCATCCCCTTTTGGTAGACATTTAGATGTTTTTGGTAGACATTTACGTTGGCTCCAAATTCTTTTTCTCTTTAAAAGCAATTCAATTATTAGCGTAATGGAGCTAGTAAAAATTATAAGCTAGGTCTTTGTATTGATTTATCTTCTTAGGTGAAATATACTGTGATTACTATATAGTGTTCTCTTTCTATCTAAAGGATCTGAGTTTGTACAAATGTAAATGGGAACTAAAAGTAGTATGGAGAATACCCATTAGTTAACCAGGATTCTATCTACAACTTAAGATCATGGGGCTGATTTCACATTTGCTATGTTGTATGATTGTTTTACTATGATCAATGTCATCAGATAAAATTTGAACATACTTCCATTTTGGAGAAGAAAGTCCTTACCCCAAAAAGGATCCATATGAACTTACCCTCTGGCATACCCTAGACCCCAAAAAAGAGCTGAACACACTTCTCTGAATCCTATTTTGGGTCAGTTGCCTTCATTGCCTTAGTATGTAGTTTTCCCCTGAAATAGCTTGGCGTTCATTTCCAAGACATAGATGTCTCAGCCAGTGTAGTCTCTAGCAATAAGAGTGGAATCTGGATTACCTAATTTAATATGCTTGTGCCATCCTGCCCTGCCCTGTGCCCAGATGAACAACAGCCTCAGGATGGGTTGAGTCTCCAAGATTGGAGGCAGGACTTTGCTGAGCTGTCCATTGTCTTCCCCAGGCATCAGGCTGCCACTTGGAGTCAGACCCCATTTTGTGCAGCACTACCTTAGGGAGGCGCCTGTGTGTCCCATGGAGATGTGGGTAACAGGCTGGGCTCTGTCACAACTATGAAGTTGATGAAGCAGGATGTTGTCCTCCCTCCCCTCCTAACAGTGCCCTCTGTCTGATGCTGGGTGACCTCCTCCTGTTCTCCTATCTCTTCTCATGAATGTCAGGGGGAATTAATGTTAGTCTCATGAGCTCTTCCCCAGGGGTAATTTCAGCCTCCCTGCTTTGGGCTAAGTGGAAATGCTGTCTAATGATGGATGTGTTCCTCCCTGGTAGCTGGAATGTGTACTCACCCACCAACCTGGAATTTCAGGGTTTCATAACTAGTAAGTGTTCAACAACTATTTCTGGAGTTGATTTGATTTTTATCTCAAAAGATGTATTAGTTTTCTACTGCAATTATAATGAATTCCTACAAATTTTTCTGTTTCATACAATACAAATTAATGATTTCAGTTGCTGTGAGTCAGAAGTCTAGGTAGAGTCAACTGAGTCCTCTGCTCAGAACCTCATGAGACCAAAATCAAGATGTGGCCTGACCTGAGCTTTTACCTGAGGCTCTGGAGAGATTCCACTCCCAGGCTTATTCAGGTTGTTGGCAGAATTCAGTGACAGAATTCTGCTGCAACTACTTCAGCACGAGTTCCATCCCCAGCCAGGGAGATGACCCACATGGCACAGCAGACCTCTCCTGTCTCACCCGCTGCTCCCCTCAGCAGTGTACTTCAGTCAGTCTGCCTGTTCTGCTCTGTTCCCCTGGGGAACAGTACATGGGTTGTTGGCAGAATTCAGCCATAGGGCTGTAGGACTGGAGTCTCCATTTCCTTTACATGTGCCACCTTCTTCACATTCAAGCAACCACATTGAATCCTTCTCATGTTTGTCTTCTTCTACTAGAAAAGACTCTGCTTTTGCTTTTAAGGGTCACATTATCAGATTAAGCCCACCCCGATAATCCAATACTATCTCCCTCTTTTAAAGTCAATTTAATTACATCTGTAAAGTCCCATTTACCACATAAGATAGCATAATTATTGGAATAAGACCAGGATGAAAAAGTCATGGGACTCAAATTGTGTCTTCCGCAAGATGGCATCTAACACTTGGTGTATCAGAAGCAGATGCACAGGTAGGGGTTGAACTCCTCTTGTGCAACCCCTCCTAACCAACATTGAGGCCTCATCTGGTTCCACTTAGCTATGCAGGAGGTCTATGATTGGGAAATGAGAATCCCTTGCCCCTCTTCTGGCAGCCTGAGCTCTGCTTCTGTAGGGAAGGGGTTCCTCAGGAGCCATCCTCAACTACGTCAGCACATGGGCAGGTCATACTTTCAGTCAGCTTTCTCTCTCTCTTTCTCTCTCTCTCCCTTTTAACCGATCTCTAGCTATTATATATCATGGTCTTCTGATGGCTGAGTCCTTCCTCTCGCTTCTCCCTCTGGCCCTGGGAATGGCACAGGACAGATTCTTCCTATTTCCCGTCCAGGGACATGGACATGAGCTTAGCAACTCTGAGCTCTCTTTACAGTTTAAAAAAAGAAAAAAGGAGACTTTTCTTCTGAAATGCACCTGTTACTTCATAGAAGCATCTTTACCTGTTTGTTTTTTTTTTTTAAAGATTTATTTATTTATAGAAGAACCCAAGTACAGGCCAGATGTGTGGGAGGGTGAGAGGATTCACCAGAGACAGAGTGGGGAACAGAACAGGCAGACTGATGGAATACACTGCTGAGGGGAGCAGCGGGCGAGACAGGAGAGGTCTGCCGTGCCATGTGGGACCCTCACCAGCGGCCGGGATTGAACCGGCGCTGCAGAGGCTGTGGACAGCTTCACAGTGCGGCGCTCAACTGCCTGTGCCACCAGGGGAGTCCCATCTTTACCTTTTAAAAAAAAAGATTTATTTATTTATGCATACAAGAACTGGGGTGCAGGTCAGAGGTGCAGGGGGTGAAAGGACTCACCAGAGACAGAGTGGGGAACAGAACAGGCAGACTGTCTGAAATACACTGCTGAGGGGAGTAGCAGGAGAGACAGGAGAGGTCTGCTGTGCCATGTGGGTCATCTCCCTGGCCAGGGATCGAACTCGTGCTGCAGTAGTTGCAGGTTGCTCCATAGTGCTGACGCTTAACCTCTTGCGCCACCAGGGAGGCCCTAGCATCTTTACCTTTTTTTCACTTTCAGGATTGGAGATCATCCTCATGTTTATATTCTTTCCCTCATTCTTCTTCATTTATCCTCTCTCCACCCCTCCCTTAGGATAATTCTCTCTCCACAATTAACTTTTTAAAACCTTTCTATCTTGATGAAAACCACAATTGTGTATATGATCGCAGAAAAAACAGAATGGAGGCTTCTTTCACAATTTGTGTAGGTGATTTCATTTAGTTTTTAAAATGTTATTAAATAAAACATGTACATGATTAAATACAATTGAAACAGACAGTGAGTCAAAACCACAATGAGATACCACCTTGCACCAGTGAGAATGGCACACATATTTAACAGGCAACAACAAATGTTGGCGAGGATGTGGTGAAAAAGGAACTCTCCTACACTGCTGATGGGAATGCAAACTGGTCCAACCACTATGGGAAGCTGTGTGGAGGGTCCTCAAACTACTAAAAAAGGAGCTTCCTTATGACCCAGCAATTCCACTTCTAGGGATCTACCCAAAGGATACAAAAACATTAATTCAAAAAGATACCTGCACCCCTATGTTTATTATAGCACTATTTACAATAGCTAAGCTATGGAAACAACCCATAAATAGATGACTGGATCAAGAAGATGTGGTACATATACACAATGGAATACTACTCAGCAGTCAAAAAAGATAAACTCATGCCATTTACAGCAACATGGATGGAGCTAGACAGGATCATGCTCAGTGAAATAAGCCAGAAGGAAAAAGAAAAATATTGGATGTTTTCACTTATAGGAAGAATATAGGGCAGCCAAATGAGGGATCAGGTAAAAAAATAACAATGCATGTTTTTCCAACAATTTCATTACTTGTCCATCCCTCTTAGAAGACACTTACCACTCCAGGGCCTCCCCGGTGGCGCAGCGGTTGAGCGCTGGGTTGCGAAGCTGCCCGCAGCCTCTGCAGCTCTGGTTCGATCCCCGGCTGCTCCCCGGCCACCGGAGGAGGGTCCCACATGGCGCGCAGACCTCTCCTGCCGCCCGCTGCTCCCCTCAGCAGTGTACTTCGGTCCTTCTGCCTGCTCTGCTCCCTGCTCTGGCTCTGGTGAATTCTCTCACCCTCCCGCGCTTCTGACTGTACCCAGTGCATGTATAAACAAAACAAACAAACAAATAAATAAATAAATAAATAAAGCATGCCTCTATTAAAAAAAAAAAAAAATTAAAAAAAAAAAGAAGACACTTACCACTCTGTAGTGTGGTGGCATCATACTGGGTGGGAAGACTACAGCAGCCCCAAGCTGCCCAGTGCCATGCGTATTCTGTGGAGGAAACATGGTGGGTACATCTGGGTCTTTTCTCCTCAATTATGTCCAGAAGATCAGGATGATTCAAGGGCTTATTATGAGGGAATGAAGAGCATTCTAGTCCACTTCTTAGGTAAAGATTGGGATGTTGGTAGGTCAACCAAAACCAGTGTAGTTGATTGTGTTGGTAGAACCAAGAGATCCCAAGGCCTCTGGGAAACACAGGGTCTGAGTGGCTCCATCTGGAGACCTTGTGATACCTGGCAAGGGTCCTGGTGTGGTGATTCTGGAGGCTGTATAAGATAATCCCCAAGTATACTGTTGATTGTGCGGTGGGCAAGATGTAGGAGGGGGAGTGTAGATCCAACTATGTATGGTGGGGGCTAAGAGGGTCATATATTCCCATATAATTGTAAGTAACCCTAGTTATCCCTGGAAGGATACTCAAGAAACTGACAATTGTTTTGCTTTCAGAAAAGATAGGAGGAGTCAAGGATGGGCAGGAGAATTGGTATTTGTTATGTACTCTTTGGGACTTGTAGAATTTCTTAAACTATGCACATGCATTACTTTTGTTTAAAAAAATGTCTTTTCATAATAAACAAAAGAGCCTCAGTGTGACAGATTCCCTTGGGATCATCTGTATATATTGTGTTGGCACTTGAGCTTGCCAGATTCATTGGCTGTCCCCTTGGGACTGGCATATACTTGTTTTTAGGACAAAATTTCTTTCATTGTTAATCACCAGAGTGTTCAGATGTGGGAGAATCATACCTCTGTTGCTTCAATCCTTTCTCTTGTTTGGCTGTGAAACATTAAATAATCTTGATGTGAGTGTGTCCTCTAGTTGCTGAGGAGTATTCAGGAAGAGCCTGGCAGAGGCAGAGGCAGTGGACCAGAAGTCCTTGATGAGAGAAGTGGGTGGAGTTGCTGATTTGGGAGGCTCTGTGTGAGAATTATAGGACTTTGAAATGACTTGCTAGAAATTGCTGTTCATTTTTGCTCCCTTATCTGGGAGGGATTTACTTTTCTAATACCTCAGACTAGCACAGGCATCATTTTCCCTCAGAGCATTGTGTTTTAAGCATACTCAGGATTTTCTTTTAATAAGGTATGGAAAGACATGCAGACATAGAGAAGACTGCTGTGGAGGAAGAAGTGTGTTGTCCTCACCAATGCCTAGAAATAGGAGGCACAGCATGCTCCTCAGGGCCACATGGGGAAGCACCAGGGCCAATGAGAGGCCAAGGGAGGAAATGTGGGCAAGAAACTACCTCATGGTTTCCATGAAAGGAGCAGGCAAAACAGGGCAAGCAGGTTTAGGATTGCTTATTTGAATAATTTCAGTGGGCCCTGGAGTGCAGGGGCTGTTCCTGCCATCTAGTAACTGGCATTGGAGTTATTGGAGCAGGTGGATAGTGACCCAGAGTAGGAGAGCTCCATAAAGGGAGCTCACTGGGTATATTGGCTTTGGATTCATTGGTTTGCATATGGAAGACTTGCTGGCAAGTGGGTTGTTTACTGTCTTTAGGAACTGGCCATCCCTGGGAGAGAGATCTCTCCAAAGTCAGCAAGGCTCCAAGATGTCAAAGCCTCAGAAAACTGAAAATAAAAGGACACAGTTTAATATACATCAGGACTGCCAAGTATGGTTGCGCAGGTTGTTCATAGCACAAGATATCTGGTCAAGTAGGCAATTGTGGTTGACATTCAGATGAAGCCCTGCTTGCAAGCCATGTGTGCTTGCAGAATTTAAGCCAGTTGAAGGGACCGACTTTTTATATATATAAAGGAACCACATAAGTTAAGAGAGGCCCATTATGGCACTTGTCTCAGGTTGCTATTCTATATCATGTGGGATTATTTGATGACTATTTTCTTTTTTTTTTTAAAAGATTTATTTATTTATGCATACAAGAGCTGGGGTGTAGGCCACAGGTGTGGGGTGGGGGTGAGAGGATCCACCAGAAACAGAGTGGGGAACAGAACAGGCAGATTGACTGAAATAGACTGCTGAAAGGAGAAGCAGGCGAGACAGGAGAGGTCTGCTGCGCCATGTTGGTAGCTCTGTGGCCAGCCAGGGATCGAATTCATGCTGCAGTGGTGGCGGATAGTTTCACAGTGCTGTGCTTAATCTCTTGCACCACCACAGAGGCATGATCACCCTGTTTTCTGACTGAACTATCAGTTTCAGAATGCCAGAATATTGTATGTGTTTCATACTAGACTAGAAGCTCCAAGAGATCTCTTGGTTGCATTATCTCCACAATGCTCAGCCCAAGCTGCCACTTCTAGATGCTGGGCAGGTGTTTATGGGATAAGTAAATGATTGATTTGCAGGACTTTAAGCTCCAGAATTTTAGGTTATCTGCACCCCAGACTCTTCTTTCTTTAGGATCAAAAAGATCAAGATCTGTTTGGCTGACATTGACTTAAGTAGGGTGAGTAACGTCTTCTTTCCAAGCAAGAGTTAGGCTCCTGTCCCTGCCTGTTTTGGGCAAAGATGATGACCTGGAAGGGGAGGTTTTTATTCTCAGTCTGTAAATTCTTTTTCTACTGTAAATCCTTCAGGTCTTTTTGCCTTCTTGGCCAAGAGTAAGGAGTGGATGACAGAGTTTGCGGGTATGGACGTGGCCTTCTGAGCCTGCAGGCAGCTGCTGGAGCCCCAGCTCCACCTGAATGAGTGGATCCTGGCAGGAAGCACCAGCTGTTGCCTGGCAAGGCCCTGAGATGATGGCTAGAGAGAGCCTGTGTTCTGGGCTTGCTTTGGCAACAGACAAAACACAAACTGACTTGCAAAAGAGGCCTGGGATTTTTGCTGTGTGGAAAGGAGGAATCTGGGGGCCTTGCAGCTGTGTACAGGCAGGAGAGGTGTCTGTGTGTCCTGGTCTGTCCTTTGTAGGTCCAGTGCATTGTTGCTGAGAACTTAACGAAACATGTATTTTTTCATCTCTTTCCAGGTTTCCATTCTATTATGAACTAAAAATAGCATTTGTAGCCTGGCTGCTGTCTCCCTACACAAAAGGCTCCAGCCTCCTGTACAGGAAGTTTGTACATCCCACGCTGTCTTCAAAAGAAAAGGTAATATATGCCACTCTGCCTTTCACTCCTAATAAGTGAAAAATAAAAACAGTGGCAAATTAACAGAGTAGATTGTTTTATTGTAGGACATCCTCATTGGTTCTTATTTCACCCCAACAAATTGTTCCTTCTAAGCCTGTTTTTGATCTATTTTTCTACATCTTTAGAAATGGTAAAATTCTCTAAAAGGTGTTAATTTATCATTTTTTGTTATAAAACCGTTCCATAGTTAAAGGAAAATTTACTCGTAATTCTGCCAATAAATTGATTTTTCTTCTTTTTATTGTCATTAGTCGTTGTTCTTTGACAAATATAATTTTTACATGTATTATATTTTTAGGATACATTTAAAGCTTGACATAGATTGGAAAACTGAAATATAGACATTAAATGACCTGAACTTGTACCCAAATAATGACTAAAATAAATTTCTAAAACAGTGTTTGCTTTATTGTTTAATGATAAAATGCATGTTACCAGTGAAATACCTGCTGTTTTGGTAATTATTAATCAGTATTCATGACAATGGACATAACATTTTTTCATGCTATTTACCAGTGTGGTTCCTTTTTTTGACTTATTATTTTAGAATGAATTGAGGAGTAGGGTTACTTGTGTGCAACATTGTATAATTATATTATTTCCTATGCAATAAGACTCTTTATGACATATAAGCTCCGCATAAAATAGGAGCACTATGGGTGATTTTATATATAAATTTCTATTGTTTCCTAAGGTTGAATACTTTAGATTTCCAGGGCAAGGCTGTGGAAGAACTTATCACTTGGTGAACAGGCTACTGTAGCATTTCTGAGAATCCCTTTAGGAAGTAGGGCACAGTACTTCCTCTCAGAAGGGAGGAATTTGAGGAAATCTTAACCTGGTTGTCAAACCCCTATTTTTCTATCTTCCCTTTCCCCAAATGCTGGACATACCCTAAAGCTTCCAGAGTAATTTCCAGAATCACTTCCACAGTTAGTCAGGGGTCACAATGAACACTTATTGCAGGGACTTCTTGGGGAAGCTTTAGACAGGGAGTGGGCAGGGGGTTGGCTGCCACCCCCTCTGTATATCAAAACAAAGGAAATGTCCAATTTGCTGACCCACAAACAAGACTGAGGGCAAGTGTCATTGCTGACTGAGCTTTCCAAAAAGCTACTGTGATTACCAAACAGCTGTTTTCTTAAAACATTAACAACAGCCAAACAGCCGGGCGTGGTGGCGCGCGCCTGTAGTCCCAGCTACTCGGGAGGCTGAGGCTGGAGGATCGCTTGAGCCCAGGAGTTCTGGGCTGCAGTGCGCTATGCCGATCGGGTGTCCGCACTAAGTTCGGCATCAATATGGTGACCTCCCGGGAGCGGGGGACCACCAGGTTGCCTAAGGAGGGGTGAACCGGCCCAGGTCGGAAACGGAGCAGGTCAAAACTCCCGTGCTGATCAGTAGTGGGATCGCGCCTGTGAATAGCCACCGCACTCCAGCCTGGGCAACATAGCGAGACCCCGTCTCTTTAAAAAAAAAAAAAAAAAAAAAAAAAACAGCCAAACAATGCAAATGAAACAAACAGAATAAGCCAGAGTTGATCCAAAGTTAAACTGAACCAATAGTTAACTTGGTTTTGGTTCCCGAAGGAGACTAATCCTGTTCCCCCCTCAACTTTACTTTTCAGTGTGATGTTCTGTGACTTCTAATTTATGCTTTTACTTCATTATCTGCAAAATTATTTCCTCTATCAATAAAATTAACACCTATCTCTTTCTGCATCCCTCCCAACATACATGGGGAGGTATTTGGATATAGTATGAAATAACTACAGGATAATAGTATTTTAGAACTGCAAGGGCCCAGACCCTTGAGATTAGGAATATGATAGTGGTTCTCAGATGTTGAAAGCAGCCACTGGGTCACATGCTTTACTGGAATGATCTTGTATAATCCTCACCATGCTGCATGAGTAAAGTACCATCACTGACCTCATTTTTCAGAAGACAAAACTGCATGCAAAGGCACTTACCACGGTCTGCCAGCCCGTTCATGTTAGGTCTGAGGTTGGGTGCCTGATTCTCAGCATTCTTTTTACCCAGGCCCCTTCAGTGTTTCATAGGGTGGCTGTGTGTGGAATGACAGGATTGTCCACATGCAGGACACCCCCCCAACCCCCCACCCCACCCCACCCCGGCCCAGAGCCTCCCTGGAAGGTTAGAGGACTTTAGAAATAATCCCAGGGCATTGCTGAAGAAAACCCTTCTGGGTTAGTAAGTTGGGTTTTTTTTTTGTTTTTTTTTTAAGAATTCCCTTTCCCATGTCCCTGTGTCTCTGCTGTTTCTTTCTACCTTCTCATGTATAAGAATGCGCATGTGCCCATGCGTGTGCTCATGTGCGCGCTCCCAGTGACAGGACAAACTGCCAAACCCAACGCTTAGGAGGAGAAAGAATAGAGATTCACTTGAACCTTCTAACTCATCATGCCTCTGTTTTTCCTTTGACAGGAAATCGATGATTGCCTGGTTCAAGCAAAGGACCGAAGTTATGATGCCCTTGTACACTTCGGGAAGCGGGGCTTGAATGTGGCAGCCACAGCGGCAGTGATGGCTGCTTCCAAGGTACCATACCTGGCTCTGACCATCATGGCTGCGTGATCATCTCCATCCCTGGAGTCTGCCCTGGTCTTCCCCTATGTCACTCACACACAACAAGCTAAGGCCAATCCGTACCCTTGTCTTTTCTAGGTTGCCTTTGAAATCTGAAACACATGCCCTTAGAAAAGTGCATGTGTGTGCACACCAATGATCTGTGCAATATTAAGAGGTGTTCAGAGCCCCTGAAGTTCATCTATGGGTCCCAGGTTAAGAACCTCTAAATTAATTGGAACTTAAGCCTAGGAGAGCCTGAAGAGGGGGGAACACTTCTCTGCAGTTTCCCAGGGGTGTACTGGGAGAGTCACTTAAACTCAAGAGATGGGTAGAAAGACTACATCAGTGAGTGGGTGTCTCAGCAGATCCAGGGGAAGGGGCCCAGGATCCCAGAGTAAGTTGAGGGGTTCATATGCGGAGGAGGATGGGTATAGGGCAGCAGCTAGAGGTAGAGGAGGTTTGAATGAACACTGGTCTTGTGGGATATTGTGATATCAGCACTGCTTCCTTCTCTTTCTCCGTCCAGCCATGTTCTCAGGTCCTCGGTGCTCCCTCGTAGTTACCTTGTGCCAGTTCTCATTATGCTCTCAGCCCTGAAAAATTAAGTTGGTGGGCATTTACTCACAGAAAAAATACAGCAGTTTGCCCTTCCCCCCAAGGCAAATGGGAGTAGGCGTCTCTATGGTTGGCTGAGATGGAAGAAAAGCAGCTGTGTTAATGTTTGAGAAGACAGGTTGTTTGGGAGGTAGTTGACTAGCAAAGAGACACTGTAAGTCCTGGATAGTGATGTGAAGGTTTGGGAAGAGGGGGCTTAGATCTTCAAAAGGGTTTGAAGAGGATGATTAATACAGATCCTTCTGCTCCATGGGTGTTGAGTGGATAGCTGAATGGAGGATGCTGACAGCCAAATGGGTCAGGCAACTGACCTGGATTTTCTGTGCCCTGAACCAGGGACTAGAACATGAGGAGCATTTCTGGGAGAAAGACAGTATCTTGGGCAGAGTGTTTGAAAAGCACCTGCCACCTGAAGGCAAGGAGTTCAGCAGCAAAGACTGGGAAAGAGTGAGAAGACCCAAAAATGAATGACTCTTTTTTCAGAGAAGGACCAGTTGCTTCTATAACAGACCATAGTGAAGTGTCCCCCTGCTCCATGTAGCTGGTACCTGGAGGGCCCCTGAACACCTTAGTACAATACTTGCTGACAAAGCAATGGATCCCAGTGAGTGTATTTGGAGGGGAAATTCTACTTTGTTAGCCCACGGAGATATATTAGGTTTTAGAAAGAGCAGTGAATTCTGAGAATTTTCTGTTTGAGATGCAATCATTTTATGCTTTCATTTTTAAGCTGAAAGAAAAGAGAACTCAGAATAGCTCAATTCTGAATTCATCAGGTCAACTGTGCAACATTATACTATAGAAACCTTCACCCTTTCTCTGCTTCTGAAGCCAGAAGGAGTGTGCATTGCAGGTCTTTCCATAGCCCAATCACAGAGCATAAATGTGGATTTATCAGAGTGGCTCAGTACTGTCACGTGGCCACTCAGATGCCTGTCTATGAATTTTATTTTGCCCGTAATTTCTCAGGACCACCCTCTTCCAGGTCTGACTCAAACTGGAGCCTCCAGAATCTTGATATCATCTTTGCCAGTCACTGCCAGGCCCTCAGACTACTCAGGGAAGCCCATGAGCCATGCCAGGCACCTTAAAACAGCTAAACCAGTAGGAAGCTCCAAACAGTCTGAAATTTGCGTCAGGAAATAAGTGCTCATCAGTTCTTTCTAGTTGCACTAAAATAGTGAGAGATGCCTGCTTCCTGCTGAATTTGGGTTTCAGATGAGAAAATATACTGCCTTATGGGAGGATGGGGGTTTGCCTTTCCTTTCTAAATATAAATACCTTGAAAGAGAAAACACATCTTCTCATCCAAAAATAATGCCCTTTATTCTTGAACCAGATGTTGCTTAAAATAAAAAAAAAAGGAAAATTCAATCTGACGAGGGGTGAGGGGGTGAAACAGTGGTTTCCATACCAACAATGTATGGCTCCAGTCAGGGGTCAAAGGAAGATAACTCACTGGAGGGTCCAAATCTGGCTTTTGTGTTCAAATCACCTGGGAAGCTGCATCTTTCTTTTAAAAAAATAGTTTCTCAGATGTGCTGAGTCAGAATCTTAGGCTATCGACCTGCAAATCTCTATTTTTAACAAGTTCCCCAGATGATTTTTAAAGTCAGTTCTGGATAGGTCGCTGCCTAAGGCCTCAGCTGGAACCATAGCACACACAGGTGATTAGGGTTAAAGCAGTTAACTTCTTTAACATTCCTGAGAGGCAGATTTAGCTCCTTTGAAGCATTGGCCTTGAAAATGAGAAATTGAGCACATGCCTGTGTGTGTGTTTGATTTCTCCAAAACTTAATTCCGCTGGAGTACAGACTGAGAGGTAACACAAGACCCCCAAATTTGCACACTCTAAGTGAGTTCTACCATCTGCCGCATAAAGACAAAGCATTCTTGTAGTGTGAAATAACTTTGATGGAATTAGTGTGTGTAGAAAGAGAAGAAAGGATAGTTTTCCCGTGAACACCCAGAGTTATCTATCCTCTCATGGGTAAATATCCAGCCAAAGAGGATTGACCCAAAGCAAGGCTGCTAAGGCCTGAAAACTTGCTACAGGTCTTAGGCATCTTACAACAGGGAACCATAAGAAAGGGGTAGTAGGGACCAGGCAAGTTTGGGACAAAAGAAGCAAAATCACAGTACAGATCAAGTTAAGGGCCGCCATTTCAGCTTCCCAAGGGTCTCTCACCCATGTCTCTTCCAAGTGTCTCTACATGTCTTGACTTCTGGTGTCTCCTTCCATGTCCCCTAAGTCCCTGGTGCAAGTCCAAAAGCTGAGAAGCAAACAGGAGTTTTCACATGTCTGTGAGCCTCCTACAAGTCTTTCTCCAAGTCTTCTCTCAGTCTTCTTCAGTTTCTCCACCTCACTCAGCTCTACCCTTCATTAGGTGGGGCCGGGGACATGGACCCTCCCTTGCTTTGGAGGTTACACTCCAACAATACCAGTTAGGAAATATTGTGAGAATACAAATTCCTCAACCTCTTTTGTAGTGCCTGAAAGAACCTAGCACGGTTGCTGCACCCAGCGGAGCCCAGAACAAACACCTCGTTGATTACCCCAGGGAAATAAAGCAATTTTATGGGGGGAAGGGAGAAGGAAAAGAAAAGAAGCCCTTCCAAGTTACCCATGGCCAGGGTGACCACATAATTTAATGTCCTAATCAGGACACTGAGTGTGTGCAAGGGACAGCAGGTATATAAACTGCAGGTCCCAAGCAAACCTGAATGTATGGTCTCCCTGCTCATGCCTGTTTCCTCCCAGAAGGCACCTTCAACTCAGGAATCATTCTCAGTCTAAACATCTACTGTATTTACCTAAGTAGATGCAGGAAAGAGTATGAGGTAACTAAAAGGCTCTAAGTTCAAAGAATTAAAAGAGGCTGAGATCAGGGATGGGGGAGGGGGTCATTTCTCCCCACATCTTCAGCTCTTTATTCCATGCTTTATTGGCTCCCCTGAAGGAAACTGTGGAGCGTCACTGAAGAATGAAAGATGTTCAGCTACCTCTTTAGTTCATTCTTTTTTTCTCTTATCATATTGAGCCCTGAACTCTTTCCTTTAAAAAAAAGAAGTTTCCCAGGTTTTTGTATTATTATGAAGGATGAAGAAACTTTTTAGACCTTATCTTGTACAGTTATAAGTTGTTATTAATGTTAACATTAATATTGTATCTTAGAACTGGAAAAGCTACAACAACAAAATTATGTATGGGTAATTTCCCCCCAGGTTTATTAGTCCCCATCTCACCCCTAAGATCTAATCCCTGTCCCCAAAAGTGTTTATGCACCTTTTTTTACTATGAAAATTATTCTCCGTTTTTCTTTTCCCTATCTCCTTTCTGAGGGTGTACTCTCTAGCACCTTCTAAGTGTCTGTCACCTCTGTCACCTCTTGGATATAATCGGCTTCCCGGCAGTAATTCCACCCACAGGGAAAATTGGGCCCTAGGTCTTTTTAAGGCTAGAATTAGAAATCTCTCTATTACTCTAGAAATTAATTTCTTAAGCAAATTACATTCTCACACTAAAGAGAAACCGCAGTGAGGAAAAACAGTGGATCCAAAGTTTTAAACTGTGAGGTATCCAGGCCATCTTACACTGCTTGAAATTTGAAACATGTGCTAAGTCTCTCCCACCTGCCCAGTTCTCAGGCTTAGGAAACCAAACTTGCTTTTCACTTGTCTCACAACTTGAAAAATAATGTCATTTTAGTTTCCCTGGATTTCCCCTTCCTAGAACAGTACCAGTGTTACTAATAATTTTATTAAAAGTCACCTGTTTAAGAGAGCTGCTCCACCCAAAGCTGGTCTTCTGTAAATTAGGGATTCTTCTTCCCTGGATAATATGTTTCCTGTCCCACCCCAATCTAATATTTCCTATTACATTGTTAGTTTCCGGAGATGAGAGAAACTGGGTTCTTTTCCTTTGTTTCTTGCTTAGGGAAGAAAAAAACCTAAACTAAACTAAAAAGAAGCAAAAAAAAAAATGCCTGCTTCTTTAGTATTTTGTACTGTTTATTTTTTTTTTTAAAGATTTATTATTTTATTTTTTTTTTTTATTTTTTATACAAGCACTGGGTACAGTCAGAAGCGCGGGAGGGTGAGAGAATTCACCAGAGCCAGAGCGGGGAGCAGAGCAGGCAGAAGGACTGAAGTACACTGCTGAGGGGAGCAGCGGGCGGCAGGAGAGGTCTGCACGCCATGTGGGACCCTCCTCCGGTGGCCGGGGAGCAGCCAGGGATCGAACCGGTGCTGCAGAGGCTGCAGGCAGCTTCGCAACCCAGCGCTCAACCGCTGCGCCACCGGGGAGGCCCTATTTTGTACTGTTTAAACCTTGTTGATTGAACTGAAAAATAAAC